GGGAGCAGAGCAGAGAAAGCTGCCTAGGCTGGGCATGTGGAGCATGGTGGCGGGGGGGAGTCACAGCTGATGGCTGGCTCCTGAGAAGATGTTATAGAAATGGTGGCCTTTGGAGTCCCAAATGGACAGAGGGCAAGTGAAGTCAGAACAGGAGGGAAGGACAAGAAGGACCTGGAGCTCAGTCCAGACAAGGCTGTAGAACACAGTCAGCCCTCGGGATGAGGGTGGGGGAGGGGGAGGAGGCAAATATAAGGAGAATTGGGAATTCCAGACTTGGGGGCCATGAGAATCAAGCATTTCTGAGAGACAGTAGGCCTAAGAAACAGAGATGGTAGCGGGGAGTGCCTGGGGGCAAGTGGAGTAGAGAGGGCCCTCCAAAGTGGCTGACCAGAAGCTGAGGGACATCCTTCCAAACAGTGCAGCCCTCAGTGGAGGGAGAAGGTTTTGCTGATCGAGAATCATTGTCTATGGCCACTGAGATAGAGTGAGTCAGGCCTCCCTGGGAAAACCAGGACGACCTGAATCCCTTGGCTCTGAAAAACCATCTGCCCTCTAGCAGGTTAGATGGGAGTCACTTGGATCTGTTCCAGAACACCCACACGGGCTGTCCACAAGGGGACCCTTCCACTGTCAGCATCTCCCTAAAGGGGGAGGATCCTCAGGGCCCCGAGTGCTTGGCTACAGGTATTTTTCCTCCCTCATCCACACTTGGGCTGAATCCATGAAAGTCCCAAGGGGATCCATGTGGGCTGGGCTAAAGCGACTGGCCACCGAGTGAGACTACCAGAGGACAGTGAATCCTGATAATGCCTCCCTTCACAATGCAGGCCCAGGTGCCAGAGCATTGCTTCATTACAAGCCCCAGGGCACTGGACAGCCAGCCAGGACCCATGATCCCACGTTCCACCTCCTGGGGCCTCCTAAGCTCTAGCCCCAGCAGAGCCAACCCCTTTAACCCAGAACGGCCCTAGCCTGCGAGTGGGAAGGCAGGGAGGGAGGGTCCTGGGTGGGGGACTTGCAGCTGCAGCCACAGCCTTGGTCAGACAGCCTGGCCCCTGGAAACCATCCCAGTCAAGGGCCCTGGCCTCCTACTGACCTCAGCCTCACCCCCTCATTTCTCTTTGCCTGGCCTGTGGACTATGCAGCTGCCTTTCTAGCAGCCCCCACCTGACAGAGCAGGCCCCCTTCCCCTGGCCTTTGCCCAATGTCTGCGCTTTGCAGATGGAATGCCCAGAGGCCTGAGCCTCTGCTCCCCTGAGCCCTGCTCTGCAGCTCCCCTGGCCTGGCTCACCACGAGGTCCCCCTTCCAGCCAGTCAGCCTTTTCCAGAGCAGCTTGGCCACAGTATCCTCTCTGATGAGACAATGAAGGGGCTCCCTGCGGTGCAGCGGATGGAGCCCCAGGTTGGGTATCACGAACCACAACTGAGGGGGAACCACCTTCAGTGTCTGTAGGGAGCCAGTTCCTAAAGTGACTCTGGGGACATTCATTACTAGTCAGCTAACAGGCCAATTGCCCTCCTTCCCTGCTCCATTCACCAGAGCAGGAGAGCTTGCCTCTGGGAGCTGAAGATCTGGTGGGGGCACACGGGCACAGAGAGCTCTGGGGGTGAGTTCAGAAATGTGCTTGAGGCAGCAGGCCTGTCACCTGGATCAAAGCCCCTGCTTTTCTTATTTATTTCCCACTTCTCTGACAGGGGCCCCATAGATGTGTCCCCCCAGATGGAGAAGCGCTTGCCATCAGCTCCATTCTAGGAGAACCTCAGAGCACTGTGGGCAATGCCTGTCCATGGACTGATCATCCAGCTTCCTGGCTCCAGGCTCTGGCTCATGATCAACATGCAGACTGTCTAACACAGACAGACAGACAGACAGAGGGACAGGCAGGCCCAGTCTGCTTCCACATCCAGGGCCTCCAGCCCTTCATGTGGAGAGCCCTGCCCTCATTCACTGAGTTTCCACACTCAAAATTTCTGCCTCTTATGTCTGGATTCCTGATGGCACCCCTCCATGTCCGTGTATGCCTGCAGGAACCCCAAGAGAGCTAAGCCTAGGAGGCTTACAAGACCCTTAGAAAGCCTCAGCCTCAGCAGTCCAACCTCAGTTTCCCCATTGCCTGAGGGCAGACTAACTTGCTCAGACTTTCCTTGGGGCAAATGGCCCCAGTCAGCTTTCTGCTGGGATGTGTCTTCACTTGGATAAATACATTTCTTCTCCCTCTCACTTCAAAGCTTCTACTCAACTAGCCCCAGTCCCCTTCATGGTAATGCCTTCCCTCCATTGATTATCTGATTGACCCTGTAGAAATCTTGTTTGTACCGAGTTGTTCTCCTGGATTTTTTCTGCCACGCCCTCCAGAATTAGACCATGAACTTCTTGAGAGCCAGGACCACTGTTTGTGTCTTTTTGTATCCCCAGGATTTTTTCAGTGCCTGGAACACAGAAGGTGCTTAACCAATGCTTCTCATTTGTCCCCTCCGCTAAGCTTCCTCACAAATTGCAAAATCTCTGTGTTAGGGACTGGCTCTGTTTTGGCCAGCTGGCTTGCTGCAGATTTGAAAACCAGAAGTGACCAGCTCAGAATTAGCTCAAACCACCTGGCATCATCAGATGGTATACTGCTTTACTATGTGTTTGCTTAGTGTTCCAGTGGGGATGAGGGTCTATGACAGATCATTGCCTTAGGCCTGCTGCCAGGCCCCAGATCTGGGGCTTCCCATCACCCATCCCAGCCCCCTGCTCAGCACCCTCAGTGAATGCTGAATCCCATGGGGCCAAACTTACCTCATCACAATTGCTATATTAAATATTTCACAGTGAAAGAGAAGGAAGAAGCCTCAGGCCAGGATGGGAGGGGAGTGGCAGAGTGGGGAAGGGGGAAGTGGAGTTGGGATTAAAGGGGAAAGTGTAGCTCATGATTCAGGCCCATTTTCTGCTCTTTGGGGAAGGTTTGGAGGGTATGAACCAATGAATCTACAAGCATTTTTTTAAAGTACCTACTATGTGCCAGTTCTGTGCTAGGTGCAGCAAAGATAGGAAAAAAAAGGAGCTCTCAGCATGCACAAAAAATAAACATGGTAATTTTTTTGGGGGGGAGGGCAATAAAAAGGGGAGAGGAAACTAGCAGCCCAGTATCCCAAAGAAGCCTAGGAGTCCAGATCTGGCTCCAAACTTATGGAAGGAGAGTGAGGTCAGGGTGAGCCATACACACACACACACACACACACACACACACACACACACACACACCACCCTTCTCCAGCCTGGAAGCAGCCTCCCCGAGAATAATTAGCCCGCCCATCAGCTCAAACAGCTCTGAAAACCGAGGCTGTAGCATACGCGCCACATCTGTATAGTGACAGGCTGACGCTCTCCAGATGTGGTCAATTATTCTCTCTTTACCAGGCGTCTTCCAGAAAGTGATGACTTGAGGAAAAGGGCAGTGAGCAGTGAAGATGTTCACAGCATGGACTGTCAACAGAAGAACATTGAGCAGACGAGGCCGGGAGGCCAGGGCAGAGGCGGGAGGGAGCAATGGCTTCGCTGCGAGTCATTTCCAGGACGGGCCCATGACCATGACCTCCCCTCTCCCCTCTCCGGCAGCAGTCTTTCGGCCCTCGGGTCTGCCTTCATTGACCCTTATCATGGCTCGGTCCTCAGACGTGGCCCCATTAAATCGAGGCCCAGGAGCCAATTTGCTTCTAGTCTGAAAGGTCCAGCAGCAGCCGATGCCCCGAAAACCTCTCCGTGGTTGGGGGTGGGGCGATAGCAGCTTTGCTGTCAGGTAGCAGCGGCGTTCCTCACTCCACCCACTCCTGCCTTTCCCTCTTGCTCCACTCGGTTTAAACAAATTCTCCTTTCCGGTTGTTTTCGGGCTCCTGGGGAGCTGCCTGCTGGGAGGCTTAGGGGGGAGGGGGAGGAGAGGCTAGGGACTCAGGGCTGGGGGTGTCGGCCTCGACCGGACCATGACGCCCTGAATGCCCCCCCCCCCCCCTCACGTCAATGAATGCTTCAGGAAAAGAAGGGCCCAGAGACAGACTGACCAGGGCAAATTCTGCTCATTCCGAAAAGGAAAACACCGTGAACCTTTCCAAAACAAACACTGACCCCTCGAGTGAAATCGTCTAAAGAGGTAGAACTCAAGTGGTCAGTTTCCGGAGAGCCTTCCAAAGCACAAGAGGGAGGAGGACGCTGGGAGGGCCTGGTGGGGGGGGGGCAGGGCAGGAGGGGGACTAGGGAAGCCTAGGAGTGTGGGAGTTGGAGGTAGTGGGCTAGTAGGACAGGAGGCTAGGAGAGCTGGGAGGGCCTTGGGGGCTGGGGTTGGGGATGGCGCTGAAGAGGGAGCTGCTCCCCAAGCTCTGACAAGGTACTGAAAGCTAAATCCATTCCTAGCAAGCTTGGCCGCCCGGGAGCCAAGTTCAGCCAAGGACCTGTTCCTCTGGTGTCGAACTTTTCCGAAACTTTTACAACCAGAAAAGTTCCCCAGATGTTAGTTGGCTCAGGGTGTTCCTGGCTCTAGGGCAAGGGTGCAGCCACGAGGCCCCCCAGGCTCCCGCAGGGAGGGAGAGAGCACCGACCAGATGGGGCCAAAAGGCCCTAGGAAAGCCAGGAGCCCCCAACCGCCCCCTGGGCTTGGTCCAGGTCCCAGCACGCCGCCAGGTCGGCCCCCAGCTGGCCGGGGGAGATCCAAGCTGCAGTCTCAAGTAAGAAACATTTGGGTAGGAGTGCGGGAAACGGCCAACCGACGAGCGTGGCACAACTCTTCCCCCCCCGCCCCGGGGACGCTGGCTCGCTGCCAGGTCCCCAAGTCCCGGGGCAGGGGGCCCTCTTGGGTGGTTCGCGCACACACAGACAGGGCACACGAGTGAGGTAGGCAGGGGCCGCGGCGCAAGATGTGAGTCCCGCTTCGCCACTCGGCAGGAGCGCCGGGTGCCTGCCTCCATTTCCCCCTCTGTTTCGCCTCTCTTTCCCCGCTACCCCCTTCCCAACTGGCTGCACTTACAGGCTGACGGTCCGGCGGGGCAGCAGCTCAGGCTGGGGCGTGGCCACCAGGTCTCCTCCGGCACAGGCCACTCGGATGCGCAGCTCGGGCCGCCCGGGTCCCGGGGCGCGCTCGGAGGTGCACAAGCAGCCGTCCAGGAGCAGCTCGGCGCAGTGGCGACTGGTGGCCCCGAGCCCCGACAGGCTGAGGGCCAAGGCCAAGTGCAGGGCCAGGGCGGCGCCGGGGGCCATGGGGTTCGGGGCGGCTGCAGGCTGGGGCTGCTGGGGCCCGGGGCCGCCTCATGGCCCGTGCCGTCTGGCTGGCCGCCCTTCAGCTCTGGTCCACTCCTCTCCAGCTGGCCGCCCCGGGGCTCCTCCTCTTCCCTCCGCCTCCTCCGCCTCCTGCCTCCCGGGGCCGCCCCAGCCCGGGGAGGGGGGCGGGAAGGGGGAGGCCCGGGGGCGGGGGCAGAGGCGGGAAGGGGCGGACCAGCCTCTGGAGCCTGGGCCCAGGAGCTGAGAACTAAGAGAGGCTGGCCAGGCTGGACCCGGGGCGGGCGGGCGGCCGACGGCCAGCTCAAGAGCTTCTGCTGCTGCCGCCGCTGTCTATCCGGGGTGGGGGTGTGGAGGACAGAGCCCCCCTCTTATCTGGGGCGAGGCAGAAGCCCTGTGGCGGCGCCCCCACCCCGCAGACCCCCTAGGTGTCTCTGCCAGCTCCCATGCCCCCAAGCCATGCGGGGACTGCGGGCTTTGGCGGGGTGGGGCAGGGGCTCCTGCCAGTGGCTCTGGCTGCGTCTTCCTACCAAACCCAAGCCCCCATGCCTGAGCAGAGTCTCTAAGCAGAGGTTGTTTCCAAGACTGCTCCAGGCCCTAGTGTGGAGTCTGAGTCCCAGCCCCTTCCCGCTGCTTCCTCTGTTACCTGGGGAGACAAGAAGTCAACACGTGCTTATTAAGCGTTTACTATGTGCCAAGCACTGTGCTGTGCACTGGGGATACAAATACAAGCAAAAAGAAAGCCTCCTTGTCCTCAGAATCAGGGTTGCATTCTAATGAGGAAAGACACATAAAAATGGAACCTAGGTGCGGGGAGCAGGTACCAGCGTGTTAAAGATCAGAAATTCAGAAGTACAGCTGGGAGGAGAATTGTCAGGCCTGGGCCCTTCTCCCAAATGGAGCTTCCCACCCCCTAGCCCCTTTGCCCCAGGATCAGATGTTCTGGGGCCAGAAGGCTTCAAGAGAAGACGGATATTCCAGAGAGAGACTGCAGATGAGACAAGGTGCTGAAGTCAGAAAGCTGCAATCCCCAACTTCTGGGGGAATGGAGGTGAGGGCTCCCCTGGATTGCCATTTCTGAAGGCCTGCTGGATGCCAGATCCTGGGCTGTGCCCGGGAACACAGAGGGGAAGGGGCACAAACTCAAGGACCTCTCAGGTTTGGGGGTGGCAGGGTGGACCCAGGCCCAGGAGATGGTCGGTGCCAGAGCATGGTGGGCACATGGTTGCCCACTCCAAGATGCAGTGCCAGGGACTGGGCAGGGGGAGAAGGATATTGGTGGGTGTGTTGAGGTTTAGGAGTTCAGGGGTGCTGGGATCCCGAAATAGTAACACGTGGGTCATGCCCGAATGAATTCCACCCAAGACTTTTGTTGCACAGGTAAACACACCGACTGCACCATTTCTTAGGAAGGAGACACAGGAGGGCTTCTAGTACCTGTCTCACTAGCAGGTTCACTTTTGATCCAGTCAGACAGGAAGACAGGAATAGAGTCATAATAAGGGGTTAAATAAGCTCACTTTATTCTAGTCTAGTCTTCTCAAAGGGAGTTTGCTGATAATGGGAGCACCTACTCCTACAGTATTCCCTAACAACCCTTCTTGCAGGGGCCGACATGAAGGGGGGGCAACTATCCCTCGACTCAGTGGGGTTAATGGAGACCAGCACAACTTGTGCACTCCCCTAAATCCCCTCAAGCCTCAATGGGGGCCAGTTGAGGCAGACATACAGATCCCCCTCCCAAGCTTTGATGAGGGCTGATCAAGGCACAAACAGCATTCAGCCTGCACATTCACCTCTAAGGAGATCCCCAGTCACTGACCGGTGCTTTACAGGGCGACAGACAAAGAAGGCATATTGTCAGCAATAGCCTCACAATTTTACATTACTTCATCCCTATATCTACCGTAACTGTGCAGTAGAAACTGTTTGAACCATGATCATGAGAACTCATATCCAGCACCTGGGAAGTGGAGATTGTTATGGCTGGGGAAAAAACTCTAAGAAAGAATAACAAAAATCCACCTCACACACACTGAAATTCACCTTCCTTACACCTTCTTTTAGGCAAAGACAAGGTTTATTAGAACACTGATTGGGGTGAGTGAGATTCCTAGTGAGTCTGAGCTATTGGCCAAATCTTAAGAATCTGAGCACCTGAACGGAGACAAGATGGACCTTATATACAGAAAGACTGTGGGAGGCATCTAGGAGTGGCCAAGTGGATTGGGGTGACTGGAGGAGGGGTCTAAGGTGGATCTGGATGGGAGTGGCCAGTAAGCTGGGGTGACTGGGGGACCTGGGCCACATGGCCAAGGGAGACTGGGGTCTAGATAGCATCAAGGAGTGGAGGTTTAGGGAGGTCTGGAGACCTGGGCCAGATGGGAAAGTCCAAGATTTTTCCTTTTTGGGGTCCAGATCCCATCCCTATTGGGTGGAGGTCACACATAGCCACCACACAAGGCATATCCAGTGTCCTGTTCCTGACCCCACAGAGTTCTCTCACCTGAGACCCAAGTGGCCAACTTAAACCTCGGAAAACCCCCCACCCAGGAGAGCCATTGTGCTGTGCCACTGCCCCTGGGATTCCACTATTAGAGACTCACCCCTTTGAGTAACTAAAGGCATGACTTCTCCAGCCATGTAATCTTTACATTTCTATGGGATCATAAGATACTCACTCATTAAAAGTGCTTTCCTCACAACAAACTTGGAGACCAGCCCTTTTGAAGGGAAGGAGGTGGCACCTGCTTCCCGAACTGGCATGACTTTGGGCAAGCACCATTGGCCTCAGTTTCCTTCTCTGGATGGCGGACATACTATAGTCCCCACTCCCAAAGTTGTTATGACTTGTCCAGAGCCCAGACTTGCGTGCAAGCTCAGCAAAGATAAGGAGGCCTTCCATTTACACTCCTGTGCTCCTGGGAAGGGTAATCCCATCCCCTCATTCCCACATAGTTGCAAAAATGAGTCAGCTCCCTTCCCTGGCCACTCCCTTCTCCCACAGCCCGTGGGTTCTGTCCCCTAGACCTGGAAGTCTCTCCCTCCTCACCTGCACCCCCAGACTCCCAGGCCTCCTTCAACGCTCAATTATAGCCACCTCCCTCACCCCACCCCAGGCTTTTCCTGATCCCCACCCCCCATTACCTTGCATTTCATTTGTTGATATGATGTATTCACCTATTTACACAGGGGGCTTCCTGCAGTAGAATGTGAGCCACTTGAGGGCAGGGGCATTTTATTTTAGCCTCTTGCATGGGCAGTGGCTAGTTTAGTCCTAATGACTGTTGGCTGAGTCACTGGAGCACGATCCTGGCTGTTTGTCATCACGGGGAAGGCAAAGGGACTGATTCACAGGTTGTCTACAAGGGGATGCCTTTTGGGGAGCAGGCATCTCTATTGGGACGGAGAGGGCTGGGGAGGTGGGCAACAGCATAGCCTTTGGAGTGGTGAAAGGCTAGGGAAGATTGCCAGCTCAGCAGACTCAGTCTAGGACTGGAGGAATTTTGTTTATGTAGAATCCTCTTCATTTTGTGTAATGGAGCGATCTTTCTGTCTGTTGTAATGACCTCTATCCCCTTGTTTGGTTAAGAATATACCTCCTAGTAGGGGGCAGCTAGATGGCAGCTAGGTGGCGCAGTGGATAGAACATCGGCCCTGAAGTCAGGAGGACCTGAGTTCAAATCCGACCTCAGACCAAACACTTGATACTTACTGGCTTTGTGACCCTGGGCAACTCACTTAACCCCAATTGCCTAAAAAAAACAAAAACAAAAAAAGAATATACCTCCCAGATGGAGACTTGGCAGCCCTGCCTCACTTAAATCCAGTTCCCTCACAGATCACCTTCCTGATGCCACGGTCCTCTTCTGGAGCAAGGGACAAACAAGGATGACCCCAGTTTATTCTGTATATATCTTGTTTACACAAGGGTCTTTGCAAGTTGTCTCTCCCATTAGACTGGGAACTTCTCCCTGGCAGTAAGGGGTCACACAGAGCGCAGAGCACTGGACCTGGAGTCAGAAAGATCTGAGTTCAAATCTGGTCTCAGACACTTACTAACTGGGTGACCTTGGGCAAGTCACTGAACCTCTGTCTGCCTCAGTTTCCTTATCTGTAAAATGGTAGTGACAATAGCATCCACCTCCTAGAGTTGTTGAAAGGATCACATTCTTTGTCCTTAGGACTGTGCCTAGCAGGTGTTCAATAAATGTTTATTCCCTTCGCTTCCTTGAGAGCAGGAGTAGGTGTTTGTTTTTGCTTTTCTTTGTATACCCAGGACTTAGCACAGTGCCTGATGTGTAATAGATGCCTAATAAATGCCAATTTCCTGACTGACTGACATCCTGTGCCTTCTGAAACCCCTGCTTGCAGACCTGGGTAGTCCTAGACTATTGCCAGCACCTCCTGAGAGGAAGAGAAGTTTAATACATGAGACACTGGACTCTGAGTCAGGTGCTTGCTGGCTTCACTACTTCGTGACTCAGGGGTGTGTGCTAAGATATCACAGACTCCTCATCCATAGAATGGACAGGCTTATGCTCTCAGTCCCTGACTCACAGGTTGGTTGTGGGAAGAGTCATAGTGCTAAGCTCACCTTCTCATGGCCCAAATCTGATCTTTGCTTGCCACTAGTCAGTAACCTTCAGGTTCTGATGTGGCCCCAACCCAACAAAGGTCAGTAACAGACTCCTAAGGTAGTGCATTGGGCCCAGAGGCAGCAGTCCTGTTTCTAGGCCAGGCCATACCACTCACTGACTTTGTGACCATGGGTATGGTCTCTCTGAGCCTCAGTTTCCCTCTTTGCCATATTTATAGTCTGGGAATAATGGACCCTGGCTACTACTGAAGCTGGGAGGTACTGGGCTTCAGGGACCCCTCCATGGAAGCTCAGGACTCTGGACATGAGAACCTGGAGGGCACAGGGGCAGTGCTGTGCCATGGGCTGCATCACCTACCAAGTCCATGGAAAGACGTTTGTG